AGAACCTAGAGGTAGAAAGCCTGAGAGCATTGTTCTAGTATATCTAGGGATTTCATATTAGTAGGGAGTATAGCCAGTAAGAGTTCCCAGTAGTTTTGCTAACTGCTTGAAAGAGAATAGAGGAATCTTTTAACTTCAGGTAAGATGGTAAGTGGTGTTTTACTAACTATACAAGAGGGTGAAAAGATTGGTCCTTGTTCACATTCGGTTGTAGTTTAAAATAAAGAGGCCTCAAGAATCTCTTTCAGTGGTAGGATCTATAGAACCCATCTGTTTATCTTTCTACTCTGGTTTTAATATTTTTGCAGAATTACCTCATGTGTGCCTTTTCCCATAAGCAAATCATGATGCTGGGATAGATGTTACTTGGCTTAGTAACTGAAGTTGAAGAGATACTCAATCCAGGGGTTGCGATGGGTATGTTTCATTGCTGGTTCCTGAAGACCTGAAACCATTTTTCTGAAATGTGAAGAAGGGTTTTTCTAAAAATGCAACCTGAGGAGACAGGTGGGGAAAGTCATTGTACTTGCTTATATTGCTTGCATTCTCTTAAAAGAACAATTAAGCTGTGGCTACTGTTTTCTTTATTAAAGTATGGTTATACAGTAGACAAACATTATTTTTGGTTGTATCCCAGATGGCTTTTGTTTTCAATTAAAATTGTAGAGTACAACAGCCATTCTTAACATCCATTAATTTATCTTAAATAAAATGTAATGATATTTTGTTTTTTGAATTAGACCTGTGAAATTTTGCAAACAACTTGTTCAGTGAAATTATTAACTCAACAGTTACTGAATTTGTTTGTGGTGTGGTTTTGACTTGGATGATCTAGGGAAGAGTCAGACTGAAATCACTTCAGCTTTCTTTTTTCTTTGAGACAATTGGATTATAAGAAAATGTATTCAGTCCTTAGATTTTAATCTTTTGGCTGTAACCTAGATCTAGATCTGTTGATTAGAGTTTGAGTTCAGAAGATTAAGTCTGTGTTTAGGATTGGTGTAATACAGGTAAACATACCTATTTTATAAATGAAGAAGAAAATAACTTATAAGACGGTTTATAGTCAACTTGAAAAGTTGTAGTAAAGATTAACATGGTCAGAAATGAAAGTAATGTGGGTTATTTTTTGGGAGTGGACATGATGATTTAGAACTCATGTTAAACTAGGTTTTTAGCAAGTATATACAAGGTTTATTAGAAAGTGAGATGTGAAGGGAGCATTTGAAAGCTTTGAGAACTGCTGCATGTGTATTGGCTTGTACTGGGGTTTGTATGCATTTAAAGTATATATAATGCTGTAATAAATAAAAATGGTGTTGTTGACAAGATTTGAGTTACTCATTTTATAAGTGGTGGTGGATTTGTGCTGGCTAAATCATACCTGTTTGGGTGTAGTTTGAACATCAGAGAATCAGTTGTTTTTACATCTTTGTCATCTGTATGCTTTTGCTTTGGGATAGGTTTCAAAATCTAATGTTGCCAAAGTATCTTTGAAAGTAGCTTTGCTGTTAATAAGTGAATAATTGAGGACTGAAAGCTATAAAGATTATTCATGTATTCTACTTCGTATTACTCTGAAGCTGATCTTTTTACATTGTATTTTCAGAAACGTCTGCTTCTTTGAGGCATGTAATATAGTATATGAAGTTAGTTTTCAGCTGTAATAGGATGGTTGTAAAATATAGTAGAGGCATTCTGAGGGAAGTGAAGAGTTCTACTTAAAGCTTAATAATACTGGACAAGATAATCTATTTTAATCTGTTCCTCATTTGCATAGTAAACATAATATATCACTGCATTTATTGTGTTTCAGTAGTTGAAACAATCAATTGGAAAGTTCTCTGTAAAGTGAAATTTTATATAGCTATTTTGTTGCTAAGTCAGCAAATTACAGTGCCAAATGGTGACATGTTTTTCCTTGGCATGCTATCTGCTGACTGTCCCATGTGCTACTGATGCTCATGCCAAGTCATCCCAGTATTATCTTGCCATTCTTTTACAGCTGTGCTATTTTAGATCTCTGATGGAACAGTCTAAAGAGCTTTACGATTTCTGAATAAAAATTCCAAGAACCTAGAGGTAGAAAGCCTGAGAGCATTGTTCTAGTATATCTAGGGATTTCATATTAGTAGGGAGTATAGCCAGTAAGAGTTCCCAGTAGTTTTGCTAACTGCTTGAAAGAGAATAGAGGAATCTTTTAACTTCAGGTAAGATGGTAAGTGGTGTTTTACTAACTATACAAGAGGGTGAAAAGATTGGTCCTTGTTCACATTCGGTTGTAGTTTAAAATAAAGAGGCCTCAAGAATCTCTTTCAGTGGTAGGATCTATAGAACCCATCTGTTTATCTTTCTACTCTGGTTTTAATATTTTTGCAGAATTACCTCATGTGTGCCTTTTCCCATAAGCAAATCATGATGCTGGGATAGATGTTACTTGGCTTAGTAACTGAAGTTGAAGAGATACTCAATCCAGGGGTTGCGATGGGTATGTTTCATTGCTGGTTCCTGAAGACCTGAAACCATTTTTCTGAAATGTGAAGAAGGGTTTTTCTAAAAATGCAACCTGAGGAGACAGGTGGGGAAAGTCATTGTACTTGCTTATATTGCTTGCATTCTCTTAAAAGAACAATTAAGCTGTGGCTACTGTTTTCTTTATTAAAGTATGGTTATACAGTAGACAAACATTATTTTTGGTTGTATCCCAGATGGCTTTTGTTTTCAATTAAAATTGTAGAGTACAACAGCCATTCTTAACATCCATTAATTTATCTTAAATAAAATGTAATGATATTTTGTTTTTTGAATTAGACCTGTGAAATTTTGCAAACAACTTGTTCAGTGAAATTATTAACTCAACAGTTACTGAATTTGTTTGTGGTGTGGTTTTGACTTGGATGATCTAGGGAAGAGTCAGACTGAAATCACTTCAGCTTTCTTTTTTCTTTGAGACAATTGGATTATAAGAAAATGTATTCAGTCCTTAGATTTTCATCTTTTGGCTGTAACCTAGATCTAGATCTGTTGATTAGAGTTTGAGTTCAGAAGATTAAGTCTGTGTTTAGGATTGGTGTAATACAGGTAAACATACCTATTTTATAAATGAAGAAGAAAATAACTTATAAGACGGTTTATAGTCAACTTGAAAAGTTGTAGTAAAGATTAACATGGTCAGAAATGAAAGTAATGTGGGTTATTTTTTGGGAGTGGACATGATGATTTAGAACTCATGTTAAACTAGGTTTTTAGCAAGTATATACAAGGTTTATTAGAAAGTGAGATGTGAAGGGAGCATTTGAAAGCTTTGAGAACTGCTGCATGTGTATTGGCTTGTACTGGGGTTTGTATGCATTTAAAGTATATATAATGCTGTAATAAATAAAAATGGTGTTGTTGACAAGATTTGAGTTACTCATTTTATAAGTGGTGGTGGATTTGTGCTGGCTAAATCATACCTGTTTGGGTGTTGCACTTTGGAACTAAAGACATACATGTTCAAGATAACTAGCCATGATATAATACAGACTGCCTTCAATTCATCTAGCTATGTTATGTAGGAATCATTTATTCCTTTGTATCTGTCATGAAGCTGCTTTGTGGGTAAGAGTTTGTTAGAGGTACTGCTCATTGACTTTTGTCTATATTAATACCTGTGTGAACTTAAATGGCTATAAATATTGGTTGTAATATGCCACTAACATTTGGATATTCATTTATCTGGCAGTTTTATATTTGGGGAAAAATACTCAAACCATTGGAAAATTAGATTTTTTAAAAAATCGTTTTACATGTGAAGTACAAAGGAATACTTCATAATCTTAGCTATGTATCTAGATATAAATATGTTATTTTTAATTTTATTAGGTTAGTATGGATTCAGTTATCATCTTAAAAATAAAATTGATGTAATGGAAGAATAACAGAGGAAAAGAAGAAAAAGCAGCTTAGTCAGTGAGCCTATGGACTTACATTATACTGAGAATTGGTTTGAGATTTGTCGGGGAAGAGAGAAAAAGCACATACTGTAATTGCTACTTCACAGTGATTGTAGTTATTGGAATCTGCGAGTATTCTGAAGTCGCTGAAACAGTTCTCTATAAAATCAGGTGCTAGGTAGCATAAAATGGTTTAGAATAGTTTAAGAATTCAGAGAACAAGATGATTGTGGACAACTATTCCTAGTCAAGTAGGAAGGAGATGGTTCTTGAGCTTGAATTGAAGAGAGTCTTTGGATTGTTGCTGGGGGGAAGGGAAAGCAGAAAAGGTAAGGAGAGGGCCATGAGTGGGCCCAGACCACAAAGCCAGTGAGCTACTTATGAATGAAGCGTAGTTCAGAATGGCTGTGGTTTTTCTCTCAAGTTCTACCTCTCATCCCCAATTTAATATGCTTCCCCCTGTTCCTTTTCCCCATATAACCTTTTTCTAAGAAGTATTCGACTATTTCTTAAAAAGAGGAAAAATAACAGAAATTCACAGCCTTACCTTCCTAAAAGCAGAGTGGTCTGAATAGAGTCAGCATATTTAGACATTTTCAGTTAAACTTTTTATTTTCAAGTAAAATAAGGAAGCCTTGGGGAAAGAACTAGGAGTTGGACAGATTAGAATTTAGAGTTGGACAGATAAGGATTCAAACACTGTTGGGTCTACTACTCATTTTTTGACCTTGGGCAAATTTAACATTCTTCCCATTATGTTTAATATGGAAACAGTACGGTCCACATCACAGTGGTGGTGTTTTCATTAAATGAAGTCATGTATATTAACTAAACATGGTATCTGGTATCTGTTCTGTATAGAATGACTGAATAAATAGTGGTTAAAAAAGTTACTTAAATTGAAACAAATAGTTGAAGTATTTCTGTATGATTAAACTAAGATGAGCATTTAAAAATAACTTGTAGTAAAGAATATAGTTTACTTTTTATACTTTGACTCTTTTAACTTTAATTTTCTGTTTAATTCTTTACAGTTCTCATTTTTCTGTCCCTTTTTTTGTTTAGGAGACAAAGATGGCAGCAAGGTGACCACAGTAGTGGCAACTCCTGGGCAGGGTCCAGACAGGCCGCAAGAAGTCAGCTATACAGACACTAAAGTGATTGGAAATGGGTCATTTGGCGTGGTATATCAAGCCAAACTTTGTGATTCAGGAGAACTGGTTGCCATCAAGAAAGTATTGCAGGACAAAAGATTTAAGGTAAGACCTTTGGTATTTCATGTATTTTGTTGCTACCAATACATGTAAATGAGTGATTTTCCAGTCATTTCTTCCTGCTTCAAATTTCATTTGTGCAAATTTTTGTTCACTTCAACTACTGTAGCAACTTTATTTTTCATTTTGTATTTTGTAGAGATAAAAGTTACTGAAGACTGCAATATTAATTTTGAACCATTGCTTTAAGTGATACATGTATTTAGAATGTTATGAAAGGTAGATGAAAATTTCTTAATTTATACTTTTAAAAAGTGACCTCTCCTTGAGAAACACTGCTTATAATATATGACCATTTGATAGTTAGCTTTGCTTCCTTTCTTAAGAAATTTCTTTTGAATCTGTGATGCAGCATTATCATTTCCCCCCGTAACTCCCACCTTGCTTTTCTGTTTTCTTATGTCTCTGTTCCATCTGCCCCTAGAAACCAGCAGTCCCCATAGTTGAGTTTATTTTCTTTTCTACACCATCTCTTCAGGGATCCTATGCATGGATGTTCAGAGGTTGCCTCTATGTTACGGTATAGTGGAAAGTCAGGAGACGTGGGCTCTAATCAAGCCTCTACCATTAGCAAGCTGTACAGCTCTGTTCCCTTCTCTATTCCTCCCACCTCTGAAACATTTTACTCTGGAGTCTCCCCTCTTCTAGGAACTATGCTAAACATTAAGGGATAGAAAAATAAGAGGTGATCACTGCTCTGAAATAGCACACAGTCTAGTGTCAGTATGCTGTAGGAGGCCTCAGATATGCTAAAGAGGTTTTAAAAAAATTATAAAGTTTTTGTCTTCAGTTCTCACTCTCTGACCCAAGCTATGGCAAACATAGTTCTATGTTGTCAGATGCCCACTGGATCTTGATATATGAATGTTGCACTGCTGTCTCAAATTGGCAAGGCTTCTTACTTAACCCTGACTCAATTTGTAAGACCCAGTGGAAATCCTTTCTCTTGGTTCCCCTTCCTTTTGCGTTTTTCTTATAATGATTTTATCATTCACCTTATCATTCAGACTCTTCTATTCCCTCATACCTTATATCTACTCATTATCAAACGTGGTTGATTTTCTTTTTTCCTCACTGCCTTATTGATTGGATTCTTCCCCTCAGTACTATTCTAGTCATGTCTCTGTCATTATTTGGCTTAATCAGTAGTAACATTCTACCTCAGATCTGCTCACTTCCAGTCCCTTTTGCACACCAACACTAGAATAATCCCACAGGCCACTTTAGTCATGTTGTTTCTCCTACACATAAATATTCTGTGGTTCCTCATAGGCTAGAAAATAAAGCCTTCCAATAAGATTCAGGAGCTTCTGTAGTCTTGCCTTACCTCCATTTGTTGTGGATTCAGGAGCTTCCATAGTCTTGCTTTACTTCCAGTTACTCAGCTTTCCAAACCTGTCACTATCCTTGAAATACATTGGTCTTTATGATTTCTCTGCCTTTTTTCAGCTGCCCTTCTGTTACTCCTGTTCTCCTGCTGTCTAAATCTTGTGCACATATAAAGACCCTTGTCAGATTCTTTCTTTTTGAAATTCCCAGGTTCCAGCCATATCTTGCTATTCTAAACTCCTCAAGCACTTTATTGTCCATAATTTAGGAAATTCCCAATTTTTTGCTTGACAAAGACTCCTATTTTTATTATGTGTGTTCCTGAATACCCACATATTAAAATATTTTTTTTTGGATTAGTAGTTGATGACAGCAAATACTTACCAAATTCTTACTAAGTGCTCAGTGGTCTACTAAGGTCTTTACATGAGTAGTGTTATTTGAGCCTTACCATTAGTATTGTGAGATTGGTACTGTTATTATTCAAATAAGGAAACTTACACACAAAGAGATTATAAATTAACTTGTCCATGGTCACACAGTTAGCAAGTGGATAGATGGGAAGGTATTTGAGTCCAAGTAATCTGACTCCAAAGGGTTTTATTACATTTTATCATTGTTGTATCAAACCCGTATCTTCTGCCCAGAGAGTATTTGGGTTAGTTCTTCTTTTACTTACTTTTTTTTTTTTAATAAAAATATTTCCTTACTTTAGCATAGTTAGGTTATTCATTAGAAATATTCATCGGTATTTCTATGTATCCCTTATAACTTTATCTCCATTCTTTTAGATTTTTTTAAAAATTTGTTTTCTACCATATGATTTCACTTATATGTGGAATCTTAAAAAAACGAAACAAACACAACAGGAGTAAACTCAACAGATGCTGAGAAGTGACTGGTGGTTACCATGGGTGGGGGTTGGAGTGGGTCAGTAAAATAGATGAATGGGATAAAGAAGCACAAAATTTCAATCGTAATGTAAATTAGTTATAGGGATGAAGGTACAGCATAGAGAATATAGTCAGCTGTGTAGCATCTTTCTGTGTTGACAGATAGTAACTGCATTAAGAGGTGCGTATTTAACAATGTAGGTAACTGTTGAATCGTTATGTTGTATACCTGAAACCAGTATAATATTATATATCAGTTATACTAAAATTTAAAAATTATATTTTTCAGTCTGTGAAACACTAAAATGGTTCTAAAAGTCAGAAATACAAGTGTCATTCCTTCTCTATTCTTCTGTCTTGTTTCCACTCACTCCCTACACATAACCAATTTGTTTGCATTCTGGTTTATTTTTTTTCTGGGTTTTGCACTGATGAGTAGTTAAGTGAATTTTTCTTTTTCTTCTTTTTATACAAAAGGTATATTAGAGATACTTTAATATTTGCTTTTTCTCTTAACTGTAGTTTCTAGAAAACATAACACTTAAGAGATTTTTCTCATCCTTTTTACAGCTGCGTAGTATTGCAGTTCATTCAATCACTCTTTTATGTATAGATACTTAATTTCTTTTCAATATTTTACCTCCAAGAGTACTTATGAGAATCTTGTGCATATAATTTTTTTAATTAGATGTTTATTTTCAGGGTAACTTAAGTAGGACTGCTGAGTCAAAACATACATGCATATATAATCTTGTTTGATAAAATTCCCCTCCATAAGGATTGTACCAGTATGCATCCTCTCCAGTAATATGAGTGACTATTTCCTCACCACCTTGACAACATGCATTGCTTTATTTTTTCAGTTTTTGCCAATCTGATAGGTGAGAAATGGTATTTCATTGTATTTTTAATTTACAATCTTACTATAAATTTAGTTTAACATCTTTTCGTCTGTTCAAGGTCAATTTTATTTGTTTTTGTGTGTGTGAATTTTTCTCTCCTTTTTTGGGGGGGAGTTTATATTTAAAATGGGTTTTTGTTCTTTTCCTATCAACTCTAAATAGGATTCTTTTTTGTTCTTTTCCTATCAACTCTAAATAGGATTCTTTATTATAGATTTGGTCTTTATCTGTAATATGTGTTATATTTTTGCTTTAGGTGGTTTTTTTTTTTTTGCCACGTTAAAAGCACCCCTCGCCCATGCAAATCTATTGTTCTTTTGTTGTAATCTGAATTTTGAGTTATGATTAGAAAGCCCTTTCTTCCTTTTTTTTATTAAGGTATTGATATACACTCCTATGAAGGTTTCACAAGAAAAACAATGTGGTTACTACATTCGCCCATATTATCGAGTCCCCCCCATACCCCATTGCAGTTTCCATCAGTGTAGTAAGATGCCACAGAGTCAATACTTGTCTAGAAAGCCTTTCCTTATGTCTTTTCTTATAGAAAGCCTTTTCCTCAGGCTACAGAGAAATTCATCCATATTTTCTCCTGGAGTTGTAAAATTTCACTTCTTACATTTAGGCCCCTGATATATTTGAAGTTTATTCCTGCGTATGGAGTTCACACCCATATATGGTATGAGTTACTGATCTAGTTTTGTACTTTCTAAATCATTAACCAGTTGTCTAAGAACAATTTATTAGAAGGTATATCTTTGTTCCAGTGATTTGAGATGCTATTGTTATTATACACTAAATTTTCACACATAGTTGGTCTATTTTTGGACTTCTAATTCTGTTCCACTAGGTTTGCATATGCCTTTGTCAGTACTGCACTCTTTTAATTATAGAGCTTTAGAATATGTTTTAATACCTGGTTGTGCTGATTTGCTCTTGCAGCTTTTCTTTTTCATGTTTTACTGGTTACTCTTGGATGTTGTGTTGATTTTTCCATTTGGATTTTGGTTTCAGTTTGGCTAGTTCTATATAAAAGCTTGTTGATATTTTTAATTGGAATTTCATTAACTTTATAAATGAGGGAGAACTGACCTATTTTTAACCTTGCATTATCTTCTCCAGCAATAAAAGGTATCGTCCCATTTTTTCAACATCACTTTTGTGTCTGTCAAGGCTTTTGCTTATACAGACTTGATATTTCTTGTTAAGTTTATTCCTAAGTATTTTAGTGCTTTTGTTGCTATTGTATAGTTTTTGTTTTGCTTTTCTTCTGCATGTTAAAAAGTAGTAAGTCAGTTCTTTCCACTATGCCACTTTTCATTTGTGGAACTTAAGTACTTTGTTCTTGTTAAATGTTAACTGTTTCCAAAAAAAATTTTTTTTGATATTTTGACTAATTCATTTCTCTCAATTACATAAAATAGCAGCTTTTCTGACAATTTAAAATTCTGTACTCTCACATCTGATTTGCATAGCTTCTGCCTAGGATTACATTAAATAAGTAGTATTTCCAGAAAAAGGTTGGAATAGTGTCTTGTCCTTCTTCAATTAAATAAACCAACCTGCTGAACCTGCTAGTGTCAGTGAGAGGCAGTTTGTTCTGGTGAAAAAACAGAGATAAAAAGGAAAAGGAGTAATTATCTCTGTATTAGTAGTCATGTAAATTGTATCTAAGACACTGATTTTTTAGGAGTTTCTGGTATAATAAGCTTCATTTCAGTAGTGTTTCACTTACATTTGAATGCCTTTTTCCTGTGACCCCATCATACAGTGGCACACTACTTAAACTAAAATTAAACTACCTCACCTGGCCAGTTTGGAAGTGCTTGTGGTAGAGAATGCTGTTGTATTTGTTGTGGGG